TTTTGATGGGTCATTACACACACACACACACACACAGAGAGAGAGAGAGAGAGAGAGAGAGAGAGAGAGAGAGAGAGAGAGAGAGAGAGAGAGAGAGATTGCATCGATCACTCTTCTCCACCATGAATGAATCAGCTGTCATATTTGTTTTTGCGAGCGAAGCCGCAACAGGTCATCAAGTAAATCATGTGAATTTCATTCTAGCATGTGATGATTTATTGCAGTTGGCTTTGTTTGCTGCTTCCGATAACTCCCATGCGCATTCAGACGCTGCCTGAGCATGCGGGCTGGTACCGTTTGTGAATCTCATGCTGGCCTAATGATCTATTGCTGTTGGCTTTTTTTGCTGCTGCTTATAGCTCTCCACGGCCGAACAACTTTTGACATCGTAACTTTTTGGTTGTGGATCAGGTGAAGGAGGAATTGCGGCATCTCCAGGATGAATTGCACACCCTGCGCCGCAATCGTATGCGCAAGCCTAGGAGCCGGGTTGCCCTACTCTTGCAGTTCGTTGTACTGCTGGTTGTCTTCTTTTTAACGTACATGTATTGGCACAAGCTGTCCAAGCCATTGGCGATGCTTCACTGGAGGACGGCAACAGGCGGTAAAGGTGAGAAGAAGGCGGGGAAGAAGTTTCAAAAAAGTTCAAAAAAGTACACACAACAACAGAAGCACATGCTTGGGGTATGGTGTGTGGGCCCTCTGAGCACTCCCATTCCCTAATCCCTCTTATGGGGAGACCCGTGGCCCCCTGGCTGGAACCCCCCTCTGGCTGGATCCCCCCGATCGAAACCTTCCTTCACACGAGCCTAAGTTGACGAAGCTACCACCTTTCCAATGTGCCCTGCCGCTTCCGCTACCGGCCCAGGCCCGAATCGAAATGCTCTTACTGCGTAAACGTAAGAGTTGTACTCTGTGAAACGGTTTTCACTTTTTGCATACACAGATGCGGATCCCGGGGCTCGATCCCCAGACCTCACCTTACCTTACCTTACCTGTGTACAGTATCAAGTCGACCCTGTGAGTCTTGAACCCGCGACCTGTGTGTTAGTAGTTGAAAGTTGTCTGTCGTAGGTCTGAGTAGTTGTCGGGTCTTGAACCTTAGACCTGTCGAAGTAGGGGTCATACCTGCATAGAGGTCATAGTTGTTGTAGTTCTGAAAGGTCAAGGTCGTAGCTGCTACAGTCTTGAAAGGTCAAGGTCGTAGCTGCTACAGTCCTGAAAGGTCAAGGTCGTAGCTGCTACAGTCCTGAAAGGTCAAGGTCATAGTTGTTGTAGTTCTGAAAGGTCGAGGTCGTAGCTGCGACGGTCTTGAAAGGTCAAGTCCGCAAACTTCCGGAAGGTCCGGAAGTGGCCTTTGAAGTTTCTGCTCACGTTATACACAGCAGACCAGAGGCAAGTGGGCAAGTGGCGAGTCCAACTTCGCTTAGTCGGCGGTACCCAGCCCCAGTCTCACTTTGTACAGTCAGCAAGTACCATGAGGGACTGTGTGCACCATGGGCCCGGTGGAAAAGGGCAGACCAGCGACTTACAGAAGTATAAATCAAGAGGCAGCGTCCAGCCATTCGTTCATTCCTGCGCGAGCCATGCGGAAGCGCTGCCCTAGCGTCTTGTGCGAGGTGGTCTGCAGAGGCCTGAAGTCGAAGTGGGCTGAGGTGGAGATTAGCGCAGCCATAGCCGTTTGTGGATAGAAGTACTTGGCGGCCATTAGCTCTCATAGCTAGCGATAGGTGTTAGGCAGAGTGAGAGGGTGTGTGTGTGTGTTACACAGTGTGCGTGCGTGGGATATTCAGGGAGGTCTGACGTCGACTGCGTGTGAACAGTTGGGGGGCACAGCGTTGGAGAGAAGATGTGTGGGCGCCCAGTCGCCATAGCCAATTGGGAGCGAGTTTGCAACTGAACTGTGTTCTCGGCTTGACTATCTCTGAGTTTCGTGTGGGCGCACAGCGCCAGTGTGAATTGCTATCGGTTTGCATGTATGCGAAGTGAAGAAGAAAGCGAGTCTCCCCCTGGCTGGAACCCCCCTCTGGCTGGAGCCCCCCGATCGAAACCTTCCTTCACACGAGCCTGAGTTGACGAAGCCACCTTTCCAATGTGGCCTGCCGCTTTCGCCACTGGCCCAGGTCCGAATCGAAATGCTCTTTCTGCGTAAACGTAAGAGATGTACTCTGCTACGGGTGAACTGGCGGTTTAAGTACTTTGGCCGGTCTCTTCTGTTGAGCCGGTAGGCACTGACCTCCTGTTGTCTTCCGGTTTTGGTGCCTGCCCTACTGGGTCTCCGACGGCGTGGCCAGGCCCAATCCCTAGCCTGATTGGGTTCTACCGCTTTGGCCCTTTGGGCCCGGGCCCAGGGCCTACCGGTCCTCTGCTTTCTCGTGGGAGACCCTGGGGTCCGCACACGTTCGCAAATTCTTCCTATGCTTACAAGGTTAACTCAGAGCATGCTCGCACTACTGCCGTCTTCACCCGAATAGAACGCCTGGTCATTATCGCTGCATCTGGACCGAAAGTTGTGCCAAATACCGCTGTAATGACCGGGCGTTCTGTTCGGGTGAAGACGATAGGGCCTTACGTATTTCTGAATGGAATTGCTGTCAGATACGCCCAGGTCCGGCCGAAGTGCGGTGAAATACATCTAGAAAAGTTATAGTGCGAGTATGCCCCTCTGTGTGCTTCAGATGGAGTCGTCACGGTTGTGAGACAAAGAGCTAAAGTACAAAGACGGGACGAGAGAACAGGAGGTCTGATCAGGAAGTAAACATTCTGATCAGATTCGGTGAATGGTCACGTCCTGCGAGTCAACAAAACCAACACAGCCATCAGTCACTGGCAGTCCGTCCGCCCACGAGAGCTTCATTAGAATAGCGAAGAAAGGTGGCTCGGGGACAGAAAATGGGACCTCTCTTCTGTTCCTTGTGTTCAGGTTTGGTTTGGATAGCGTTCACTTTTTTCAGACACCATGTTCTGTCCGTTCTTGTTCGCCTTGCTCATGTTTTGCTCTTGGGGTGTGCGCCTTTGCGTGCGGATCATTTCCCATCTTTATCATCTCGACTTCTTCACACTTATCATGCACGCAAACAGCGAAACAGCAAACTGGCGACATGCGCCCACACAGTACTCAGAGATATCGTAACCAGGTAGGAGTTCTCTTCAAACTGGCTATGGCGACTGAGCGCCCACAC